TTGGGCAACCACACCTGCCTCCTGTTAGGGAAAAGGGTTTTTTAGGTTACTACTCTGAGCAGTGTACAGCCAATTGCTTGATTTCTGAACACCCAAGCTGAATTCTTCCCTGTCTGGCTTCAGGGATTGAGAAATTCTTCATCTCTTCTGTGGAATTTTAATAGTTTTCATATACTTCCAATTCTACTTTCATACATGATAAAAGCATTTTTTGTCCATATTCACAAGGAGTGTTGTATCACTGTGGTAAAACTCTTTTTTCTCTTAACCAAATGTGACCCCAAAATCTCTGCAACATTTATTTTTAGAGCAGTGCTGTAATCCACACGCAGCAATTTCCCCTGGAATCAGCCACTGTGACAATGAGAGAGATCTTTAAACATTCACAGATGCATATTTATTCTGAAGCAAAATAGTAAATAGCTGAAGGTTAGGAAAAGAAATGCTATACCAACATGGTACTTTGAATCTGAAAAATGCTTTAAATAGCATCATCCTAATTTTGGAACAAATTTAGAATCAATTAAGTTAATTACGGAAAGAGAAAACAGAGGGCTAATGTGTTGTAGCTCTGTTAATCACACTGACTTGCACTTAATCATATCGCCTTACATTAATCACATAGCTGTGTATTTATATTGCTTTATCATCTGTGAGGACCACAATGTTTTATGCAGAAACCATTTCAAGCACTACTGAAATTCAGTTTCCTTCTTGAAGGATGTGGCAAGTGTTTTACAGTGCATAGCAATGCTGACAACAGCCGAGACCAGGAAGAGAAGAACATATCAAATGCAAAATGGAGGAGAAAGTTGAGAGGTGGAATATAAGAACTAGAATGGTTTTATTCTTCTTGCTATGAAAAACATGCTGTGATCCATGTTTGCAGCTAACAGAATTTAGCTTCAGTACTTCTATGAAAATGTAGCAGCTCTAATGGCCTCCTAGCAACCTGCTCTGAAGTACTGGGATTAATTTAAATTTGAGGAAACAATGGCATCTACTGAATAGCTAATAAAATTTCTTGCACCATCCAGCATTTCCATTGTAGTTATCCATCATAGTGTATATCTACTGCATAAAACTCAGCACCTGAAGAAAGAAAAAAAATTAATAATCTAGTCTTAATTTGTGCCTTTTAATATTTCCTCTGTCCTGCTATTACCTTGCATATTACAAGATTTTGATATAGAGTCTTTAGTCTCTATAAGCAGGAGCATGTGGGTAGCAAAAGAACTATCCTGGCAGGAGTAGCATCATTGTTTAGGCAATCTGTCATTTAAGTTGCATTTTGTGAACTTTCTTTGCCTTAACACTGTGTCACAGTCTGGGAGTACCTTGTATAATTACCTACTTTTATTTTCATTCCCTTACCTGCAGGGTGACAGGAGCCATGGCGGTCAAGAGAATCAAATGGATAAATTAGCATGAGTCACATTGAAATTACAATAGAGGGGACATAAAGAGACCAGGGGTGCTGAATTGAACTCATCTTGTCCTAAAATTTTATCACTCAGCTTGACATAAAATCTGATGCTTGTTTTAGATTTCTGTGTGTGTTTGCAGTTTTAATTGAAATAAGATAGGTCATAAGACAACTCAGGGTTTCTGTCTCCTACCTCTGGGATAGTTATTAAGAAGTAGGACATTACATTTGTAAAATTACACTCACTAACAGTTGATTCCTTGAGTTTATGATGTGTATTAAATAAAGCTTTTCCTGCTTTATTTTCCCACAATGTTCTAATTTATTAATGGAGTCAGAAGAGGTTTGTGCGTGGTACTTGATGTTAAATTTCCTTAACACTGTAGTTCAGATTTCACTCCAAATGGAGTTCTTCACGTTGTAGGAGGAAGTCTGATAAACTTGAGAAAAGTAGACAGATTTTCAAAACATATTTTTGCTCAATTTAGTATATTGACTGGCACTTTATATTTATATATTGATGGATTTTTTTTTCAGAAGTAAGAATAATTTTCATGGAAATTTGAAAGGGTTGTTTTAAGATTAAAATGACATCTTGAATTATGAAATATTTTTTTTTGTTTTTATGTGAACTCTTTCACACCAGTTCAAGCAGAAAGTATGAGTAAGAAAAATACTGTTCTGTAAAATCTTAAAAACAGGGGAACAGAAAAACTGGTTATGTGGTTTGTATTCATCCAAGATTTCTTAATGCTTTAAAAACAAAGAACCCCCAAATTAGACATTCCTGGAGTACATGAGACATGAATGGGCTTATACGTTATAGTTGTAGCAAAAGTACTATATTAGTTGGTATTAGTTTATGCCCAGTTACCTAGATGTGCCCACCTGAAGGAGACTTGGTGATTTAAGAGGCCATATCAGTTTCCTGGAGACCAGGACAAGAAGGGCTGTGTCTATGTTATCAAGGAATGAGAACTGATAGGGGGTTATCTCTAAATCCAAACAGCAGGTGTGGAGGACCTGGTTTCCTCTGTATTTATTTATTTTTATAAATTGCATTAACTCTAATCCCATGGATTGACTAGCTGTCTGGGGCTGGAGCATACCAGCTGTGCTACCAGAGTGCCCCCACAGCTTTGGTTCCTCTAGAATAACCATCAGTGGAGATGACCAGGAGATTCACTTCAGAAGTGCCATCCTGGTCCCAGCTACAAAAATACGATGGGTGTATATGTGTGCATACATATGTACTGCAATAAAAATGTCTATATACACACCTAAGTATATATATGTATTTCTGTATGTCATGTCTGTATGTATGTGCTCATGGGTGCCTCATTGCCTGCGCTCCTGCAGGCTTGCTGCCTTGCAGTTAAAATGGGCATCTCTTCGGGTCAGAACAGTGGTGATATTAATAGCTTGTTCTAGAATTAAGTCTTACACTAAAGTTTAGACTTATAAAAGTCAGCTGTTTAATGTTAAACTGCTCCTGTGACTGAAAATCAATGTAATGTCTCTACTCTAATGTTTGCAAAGACAAACATTTTAGTATCACTAAAATACTTGCTGTTCTGCTGAGGGGAAAATACAGTCTCTGCTTAAAGGCAGTGGATGCTGCTTGTTTAGAAGGAAACTAGGAGCCAGACTACTGCTGCAATAGTTCCAATTCATGAACAAGGCAGGGATTAGTTAAATTTGGGAAGTCCAATCTAATTACAACACTAATTCAGATGATTCAGAATATTTTCCCTCATAGGGAAAAAGCTGAACTGACAGCTTTTTCAAATCTCTGCTCCACAGTCTAAGGATATAATCCATGTGCAGAAATTGCGGGGACCTGGAGGGCCTTTTTCCCTATAAACACAACTGGATGAAGTGTATGCCATGATCCTATTGACTGATTGATAGCTTGGGAAAGCCTTTAAATGCCTATTTTTTTCTTCTAAAAATTCACAGATGTATGCACCATTATTTTTTTTCCTTTCCCAGTCTCCACAGAGAACTGTAGTCGATTTTAGCACTTTCAGCAATCTCACTGTCTACACAGAGATTAGGCAAAATATAATGGAATGAATCTTGCAGTGTGTAATTTAACACTCAGATTAATTACAAAAGAAGCAAAGTATTGAACAACTCTCACAACTTCTAGATGTGCCATTATGAGTATTATGAGCCTTTTGCTGTGAACTATGTTAAATCTTTCATTTAGTGTATTTTGTTACTGCTGTGGTAGATGAGAAGGTTCTGGAAATAATCATCTATTTCCCTGGAAACCATAGTCTTCCTGGGAGCTTCTGCCTTCTAGTACCATCCTAAACATCTTGCATATAAGGAGCTGGAATTCGGCAATAGGAAGGTGCTGACACTCAAACTGAAGTTTTTATTTACTGCTTTGCTAGGCATGTTGGATTGAGAGGAAGTCTATAATATTCCTCTCCTGTCTTATAACACTGTAGCATGACATGCAGAAAAAAAGTTTGCCCACCTCGGACCAGAGTACGTCTCCCTTCACAGACTTTTCATAGCTGTCCTTTCTGCATACCTTGGTAGCCAGCCATCAGTACTTTCTACTTTTGAGCAGAATGCTTCCGGGACAAGTCTGATGATCAGTTATGGTGTATACTTTGCTGCTGGAAACAATGTCACTATACATTTAAATAACAAAGCCAATATTTTTAAAGACATCTGAGAGTATCATGTGTTTCCTGAAGTACTTCTAACATCTTTTGATACCTTTGAGTGACAAATACATCTGTATTCCTAGAAATACTACTTTATATTCCTATAAATGAACAAAAAGTTATGAATTTCTAATCTGGTGGTAGTAGCCAGAGGTTTGATTTATATTTATAAATGCTTACAGTTCTGCTTGCCTTTTAAAGTCATCATGGTTTGTTATGTGAAAAGCGTTCCTTATGAAAGCTTACAATCAACATCATTTTTAAAATGTCTTTGTTAGCAAATTACTTGCTGCAGAAGCTATTTTACACAGTTGAAAATTTCAAGGAATATATTTGATTACTATATAAATAAATATAATTATGCCATACACTTACAAAATATTCACAGTAAAGGTTTGATTTACTTATATTTGCACCACTATCATTAAACTGACTTTTAACTTTTTGCTGTAAGAAATATGACAGCTTGAGTAGTAGGTAGGAAAGACAATATTAAACAATCATTGCCATATATATATTTTTTTTTCTGTATGTGATAGAGAAACTAATCCAGCTTGTTTTTCTCACACATTCAGATTCCCACATCTAATGACACCAGTAAAATAACCAAGATGTGGCTCTTTTTATATATCTATACATACACATACTTTTTCAGTTCTTTGTATTTCTCAGTTGTTTTTGAGAGAGAATTACATACACAGGCATGGTGTTGAAGCACAACATCCGAGCGCTCATTTATAAAGTCTCCTGTTGCTATATTGCATGGTTAGCTACAGGCTGGGATTAATCAATTAATCAATCTGCTTAACTGGTTCCTGTTCCTCGGTTTCTTCCCCCTTGAAATGGAGGTATTATAATCCAATCCCAGGGTGATTTTAAGAGGTGCTGGAGGATAACTATACTGTGGTGATCATGGCAGATAGGAGTATTTAAACTAACAGTAGGTTTCAGCTCCAAATGGAGTGAGACACTCAGAAACAGGTATCTTTTTGATGAGAAATTTGCAAAATGCTTTTATTCTTAGGATTTAGCCCTGAATATCTTTTTTTTTTTTTTTTTAAATCTCCTTTGCTGATTTTTTGTCTGATGCCATTTTTGGATCTATTTTCATGTTAAGCTGATTTTTTTTTTAGTGGTTAACACATTTCTTTCTACCACTGATTTATAATACATCAAGTGTTTTTCTAATTATTGTCCTACCTATGACTGATTTTTAAAGGTGTGAGAATGAAGGGAAATTCAAGAACTTTGAACAATTCAGGAAAACTCTCAATGAGATGTACTATTACTAGAGAAGAAAATTGCCTACAGACTGGAGAGAATCCGCAGAAAAGTCAAGAAGATACTGGAAAACTACCATGAGGGAAGGTTGAAGTCAAGGCATTTACTTTACAAAAAAAAAAATAGAGTAGACTGAATGCAGGAATGACAAGTTTTCCATTTAATTTTTTATAAACTACTTTAAGCTGAACAGTGCTCAATTTTTCCACCTTTGCCATTGGATGGAAGACATCAGCACAGCTAATCTGCAAAAGGAAGAAGAGAGCCATTTACCCCTGTCCCGTGCTGTGACAAGATACCTAAGGTATGAAGACTGTTAATGTAGTGCCCTGTTACATCCAGATGTCAGCTGGTCAGCTGTGTACCACATTCCTGGTGATTTTCAATAATAGCCTGTCCATGCCCGTTTCCTGTGGAAGAAGGTTCTTCTGCCTTATCTGCAATGATGAAGACTTCTGTTGAGCTGTTCACTGAAGCATTGCTTCAGCCTCAATGCATATAATTTGTTTTTGAAGAGTTTGAAAGGTCTCACAGCATAGAACTTGCTAATGAGTCATTCCAGCTCACCTTTGGTACTGCTTTTCATCCAGCATGCTTTGGTGACCATACTATTAGGTTACATGGCCACAACACCCCACTATTCTATTTTATCCCAGTTCTGGAAGTGTAATTTTCTAAATTTACTAGCTCATAGTTTGTGATATTTTTCTTATATGTCTTAACCCTCTCTCTGTATTGAACCTGTCCTTTGATCAGTTCCTGAGTTCTTTCATGTTAATCATGCTTCCACAGCGGTACATTCCTCTGACTCAGTGTTTGTACATGTCAAAACCACTAAAAGGTGTCAGAACATGACTCCTGATAAGCAGTGACCCCAGAAGGACATAGCATCTCCTGCTGTAATAGGCTTGGAAAAACAGAGTACACATACCAGTTCTTTTCCAGCATCAGCAGATATGTTCCTTTTCCTGACACCTTTTTTGCATGGAAACTGTAGACATTAGAGAGCTCTTATATGTATTGTTTTTGCAGAGCAGGACTTCTGTTTGCTTGGCAAAGAAAGGACTCCACTGAAAAGTGGACCATACCTGTGCTCTGGATGTTGCTGATCCAAGCAAACCGTATCTATTTCCATGTTCAGCAGCTGAGCTGTTAGAGAACAGGCTGATTGTGGAGTATCATCCCCAAACCCTGTAGGAGAGGATAGAGCCCTATTTGCCTGCAACATCTCATGCAAAATCTAGATGTCAGATCTGGAGCTTGACACTACCACAGCTGGTAGACCTTGCTAACACTAGTGTCAGTTCAGAGTTTTCTTTTGCCTATCATCCTGAAGTCCTGTTTCATTTGTACTATTCCCCCAACCTGCATAGGTATGGTTATTTTTTTCTCTGGTTTTGAAATAATTTCTAAATATTTCCTTCAGTTACCAAAAAGCCATGACTTGGAGTGAATATGAAGAAATGATGCACGCAAACTCCTGAGAAGAGGCAAGCTTAACCTCAGCAGCAATTAATGAGGAAAGTAGAAATACGCTATGTTAGCTGAGCATCTTCAGAATACTTTGATGTTGTGAGGTATTGATTGACCTTCAGTAATGCAAAAATGTTGAGTAGTTCTAAAAAGCAATGAGGTGGAAAATGGTAACTTTCTTCAGAAGTATTTGGCTAGCATCATGTGCTAGTCAAAGTTACCATATTATGGTAGCTTAATTATTCCTTTATAAACCTTGTCTTGGGATATTTGTGTTTGTTATGAGGTTATGCCTTCACAGATTCTTTTGGTAAATCTGAAATAAATCTCTCATGGATCAGTGAACATTTAAAAAAGCTATTTTGAAAGAGAGAAAGAGAGAAATGCCTGGGTGACATCAATGATTTCCTGAGTTTTTAAGTTAATTGAATAAGTATGTATACTCTACCTAATTTTTCATGCTGCTGGGACATAATTTCCTTAATTATTTGAAACGGAGACTTAATTATCATTCCATCTACAGGGGACTGACTTCGTCTGAAGGTGTTATGTCAGTTTCTCTTCCTCTGGATGAGGAGAGAGGAGAAAGCTCTGGAGCACCTGAAGGTGAAAACAGCTCATTATCAGATGCTGCCATGTCAGGCACATCATTGATATTTGGTGTGCAATATATTCATGATCTATGAAGAAACAGTAAATTCCTCCACAGAGGAACATCAATCTGGCAAATGTTTTGCAAAGTACTAGGCAAAGTTATCTTCATGTTCTGCGTTGCTATGTGTGGTGTGACATGAGACTGCCGAACAGGTGGTGCAATATTCTGTTGGCACTCCATCAAACCACGCTGGAAACTTTTGGGTTTGCTTCATCAGGGTGGTACTATAAGTCCTGTAATGAAGGTTACCCTGAGTCTGCATAGAGAAATTCTGTCCTGGCTGAGCATTAAGGAGCCTCAGGGTAGGTAGGATCTGCACCCCTATGCATATTGGACTAAATGTGAGGGTTTCTTTCAAGCCTCAACCAACACCTTTCTCAAGGAGGAAGAATATCTATGAAAATGTCAGAGCTCAGTCTGGAGGAGGCAGTAAGGATTAGGCAGCTGTATTGCTACATTGAGCATATGGATTAATTTAGAAGCCAAACTGCTAAGACACAAAAACAGTGGTAGCCTGCCTTGTAGATGTAATGGTGAAACAAAAGGAAAGTGTATTCACCTGTTAAATCTTCAAGGCTGCGCAATGAGAAATGTGTGAGGTCTGTTACTACTCATATCAGGAATTGCTGAACTCCTGTCTCTGCCATCATCACCACAGTTACTGATGTAGCTGAAATGTTGGGGTCTAAGAATGTGGATTGTAATCTTATTGCAGAGCTAAAACTGGAGCAGTTCCTCTGGACCTTGCAGATAGCTGATAGAAAAGTATATTATATCAAACTGAAATATCTCTTTTAGGTCACATTTTGATTTCCTTCCTCTCCCATGAAAATCCTGATTTGTTCTGAAAGTTTTTATCTGTCTTTCTTCCAGGCTTCAGAAGTTACTTTATTTTGTAAATTGCCCTTTATTTGCCTTTTTTGATTAGAAGTTACCTGGAGATTGCTATGATGCTATCAAATTGGACTTACCAACTTCATATAAATCTACTGTAGGGACATTGTGTTTTAACACTAACACTCTTCATTTACTTAGTGCCAAAATCCATTTCTGTTCTTACAAATTGTGTCAGTTTGGTGAGTTTAATCCAGACTGAAAGAAATTACTATGTCTGGATCTCGGAACTGAGTACAGAAAATCAGGTGCTGCAATGTGAATGTAATGGGAAATAACCTGAAAAGCATCATTACTTAAATTGAATTTTATTTTTTTTTCCTAAGTTCTTTGATCCACTGAAAGCATACTGCCAGAGGTTAATAAAATAAAACAGGATTCTGCTATACGTCCTTCATCAAACTGGATACTGGGTGAATACATGCACTTTTAAATTCAAGTCTGTTACATTGAATGTGATCTTTATTTTGGCTTTGTGGCTGAAAAGCTTTTTGCTTGATTGTTTTTTGTTTGACTGCCATCAGGCAGAAGGAACATCACATACTTGCTGTGATGAATCCAGAAAGACAGTCTGTAATGGACAAAGTTTACTTTTTCCAGGTAGAATTTAAATGTTTAATTAAGAAAGTAAAACTATGCTATCCACAGATAAATTAGTTTTATCTTTCTTCTCGGCCAAGGAAAAACTTGGTTAATTTAGAGATAACAGAAGGCCTGTCAGGTATCACTGCTGAGGACTACAGTAGGATAAATTAATCAGGTTCCTTGTGTGCAAGGATGAGCTTTAGTAGTCTTATTGTTCAGGAGACAGGTTTGTTTATTGTATAGCGGCTGTTTCCAGCTTGAAAGATTTTTATCCTAAGTGTCACTAGTTGACTTCAATGTTCTATTTACAGGAGTCAGAGATTAGTTTTGAAAATAAGTATATATGCAATCTACTATTTTTTGATAATTACTCAAATCCAATTTGGATTTTTTTTTTTGAATAGTAATTATTTTATAACTGGTTTTCTGCCTCTTTTTATGGTTTGAAAATGTGGTGATCGAGTGTTTTGAACAGCTGCTTTAGTTTTCTTTTCCCCATAGCTTTGAAGTACTAGGAGTAGCAAGTACTTAGCAAAGGAACTAGCTGGTCACTACGTTAATTTAAACATCAGAAATGAAGTTATTATTAATCACAAATCACAGCTTTTTGAGTAGGATCTTCAAGCAAATCAAGATGATGGTCCCCTTGCCTTCAGTACTGTAAATGGGTAAAGGATCAGACGGTTTCTGCTTTGAAGAGCTTGCAGCCCAAATAGGGCAAAAAAAATGAAGAGAAGATTGGATAAATAAAATTGTAATATGGGCTAAGTAAGTTGTCATCAGAGTAGAAAATAATCTATTTCTCATTAGTATATTTTGTAGAGAGTGGTATTATGGAAAGTATCTGCTCAATAGAAAGTGTAGAAGATAAACCAAAAGGGAGTAGGGAGGTGGAGGAGCTAGTTAGAAAGAGGCAAATAAAAAGTGATGAGTAGAGTGTAACCAAGCTTGGGTGCACAGCCAGTTTCTACAAGGCTGAGACACTCTGCTCCAAGTACTTTCCAGGCAGATGAGTAAGTTTAGGCAGAAGCAATAGCAAATGACAGGAATTTTTATTAATTCAGCAGAGTAGTTTTTTGATTTATTTGGGATGCAGTAAAGGACAGAAAATTCATCCAAGGATGTTACTGCTAATTGTGCTGGCAGTTAAATTTAGCTGCTCTTCAATGAAAAGAAGTGATCAATCATTTTAAGAAATAAGAGATCATCACTAGCTAGAAAAGGGCAAACGGATTGTCTTTCCAATCTTTAAGATGCCTTTTTGTTCACTCTTTCTCTTTTGTTCTGTATAACACTAATGCAAATAATCTGAACACAGCAGATTTCTGTATGCTGCATCTCCTTTTTACAGAAGGATGGCCTAGAGATTAAGACATGAATGTAGAAAAATCAGATCTGCTACCCTGCTTGTGATTTAACTTCTGAAGTTGGCACAGAAGTTACTTGTCTTTACTGTAGCTTGTTTCCTCAATGGTAAAGTGAACAAAAAAAGGAGGAAGTAGTGCATTAATAGACTTTGTGAGGAAAAATAATACTCAAAAGTATGTGAGGATTGTAAATAGTGCTACGATATTAATAGCTCAATTCTGCTGCCCACACATAGGCTGTTGGAGTCATGTCCTGCCTTACCTCAAGCTGCTGTTCCAGGGGAAACATCCACGTCATGTTTGCCACCTGCACAGTGGTGTTTGAGGGATCCTGTGCCATCTGAGTTGCCTATGGGTAGGCAAATGAATCAAACTCAGTTTCTCAAAGTTGATTCTTTGCTTTTAGGTTGGTCCTTATTATCTTATTAATTTTTCTTCCTTTTTATTCTTTGGTTTCCCACTTGTTTTTTCCTCCCTTCAAGCTTCGTCTATGTTGTTTCTCCTTTCTCTCTACTTTGTTTTCCTCTTTAAAATGCATCCCTTTCAAATCACCTATCTGGATGCCCTTCCTATTATATACAGGCTAATCAAACAGAGCAGACTGGTGAAAACGGCTTGCCTCTCTGTAGTTTATTTTTTTGAAGTACACTGTGGTTCTTTGAAGCTGTGCTAGGCTTTCACTTTCAGTGAGGATAAGCACCCTTCAGAATACATGCAGAGACCAATGAGCCACCCTACCAGGTGAGAGGGCCGTAGCATTAAACTCCATGCAAGCTGTCAGAGACAAGAAGGAGAAGTCCCTACCCATACGTTGCCACAGCTGTTAGCATCCATTCTCTTCTCACCAGCAAAACAAGACCTCGTGAACTCCAGGTTCATCCTCAAGTCTCCTTAAATTCTCCATAAATTCTACTGGCCAGCTAAGCTTTATGGCTGGACCTCTTAAAATCACACTTAAGCGGAACAATAGCCAACTGTTATTATGTTAAATTTTTCAAGTGTGCCCATTTAGAGTAGAGCAAATTTTCTGGATGTTACAGGGGAAGGTTGAGTAATGGTGTAGCATTGTGCTGCTCTGCA